GGCCCCTTTAAGAAACGCTTGTGAGGCTTTTTGGCCCTAACAGGGTGCTGGCAGCCATCCGTCACCTTGCCTCCCTACGCTGGGCCGGACAGCTCCCCTGCAGAACCCGGTAAGCACCTGGGATATTCGCCTCCTGGCAGGGAAAAAAATCAGAAAATACCTGGCAACCCTACACAAGGATGCCAGACCAAGCAGGTCCAACTTGTACACAAGTGGGAAGGTAGAGGGGTACATCTTCCCTAACGCCAAGCACCCTTAATAATAGTGCAACTTATATGTCTCCATTTTATCGGCTATATGTGTTGAAAGAAGTCTGGGAAACATGTAGTGTCACACTTTAAAATCAGTTATAATGCTAGCATCACCGAGACCAGAATCTGTTGCTGCTTATGTTTGTCAAAACCAGGGGAGCTGTTCTAGATTTTCATCAGTGCGACTGAGATCAGAATGTTCCTGTATACAGACACTATTCACGTGACAGATGGTCAGAAGTTTTCTGACAAAATGTTTATCCATCAGGAAACGCTGATTCACTGAAAGCAAAACATTCCATGGAAACGTGGATTTCAAAGAAAATTTTGTTTTAAAATAATGGGATGGAGCATTCTGCTAACATCAAATTGATCCATTTTGAGAATGCAACGTATTAATTTTCAGGTTTGAAACATTTTGTTTTGATATTATGTATAATGTAAAAAAAATGCAAAAGCAGAAGGGAAATGTTTCATTTTTATCAAAACAAACCATTTCCATTCACCTGAAACTATTTTAAAAAATGTCATTGAATGGAAAATTTCACATTTTGAGGGGCTTGTTCCACTTTGGAAGGGGAAGAATGAAATCACAGATTTTTCTGTGAAACAGAAAATACAGTTCCTGACCAACTCTGCTTCAGAAACAAGCATCTTGACTATTTCCAGTGACTGACTTTGAAGATATCAATAAATACCAGAAAGCAAAACACAGTAAGATTGATGGTAATATTACATTTTAAACATTTGTTTTTCTTAAGAAATTGGTTATAATAAGAAGTTGGAATCCATTAAAAAACTTATTAAAATTGGCATTACACTTCTAAAACAGTTTAACTTTTAATTTTAAAAAAAACCTCTTCTGCCTAGATAATTTGTAAACAAAGCTTCAATGGCAATATGATAGAAAACAGACAATTTACCCTGATTTGTACAAATGTAGCACAGAGATTGCATTTGTTCATAGAAATATTTGTTGGAAACCCAAGTCCATGTATAATGACCTGGGTAAGATGTATCATCATGCAAATGAAAATGGGTTTTTCAGAGGTCACTGAGCTATATGGATCTGAACCTGTAAGTTCCTGGTCAAAGCTGCCCCTTGACATCCAAAGAGTTTTACTTGTGTAAGGACTGTCATGTCCTATTCCTTTCATTACACTGTATCTATAACAGTGCCTTCAATACCAAAATACCAGCGTCTTTCCCAAATCATTCATCTATAAGCCCCAATTCGGCACACATGCATTACTTTACACACATGCACAGATTATGTACACATGTTAAAATTAATCAGTGCAAGTGTCTTTACAGCTTTGGAGACCTACATGTAAAAAGTAGGGATTTTACGTTAGCATTGATAGAGACCCTCAGCGGTAGCAAAGAAATCTGTTTCCAACTAACCCTTTCTTTCACAAAGGGTGCATCTTAAACATTTCAACTGCTGTGATATTCCCTAATTTTGGTGGGAGGGAAATTAAGAGTTTGTGGGATCGAGCTCTGCGACCAATGACTGCAGAGTGAAAAGGTAAAATTTTGTACCACTAAATTCAAATAGCTGAATGTGGCTTTGCATGAAAAGATGCACCTTCTCCTCCTTCCAGTGAGACCCAGCTTGGATGGAATTGAATATACAATACCTGCAAGATTAATATTCTAATCTGAAAAGATACAGGCAACTAATTATGAACACAGTGACCTTAGCTCATCCTTCAGCCAACCCTGACAGCCAGAGACGCACCAGTGACTGTATGAAGCTGCAGCCTTATAGTAGTTATTGAACAAGGACCGTTCTGTTCCCATTTAAGTTAGTGGCAAAACTCTCATTGACTCTATTGGAAGTAAGGTTAGGTCAAGTGTTTGTTTGTTGTCCCATATTCATTCCACTCTAAAAGGTAAATTAGAAAGAGATGGTCACATACATTTTAGCAGCTAGGTAAACTGATTATCTATCTATCTAGACTGATTGATGGGTAAATTAGATGTACGAACTTCTTTTTATTAACCTGATACTAGACCTATTCCATGAGCCTGTGATTATCTAAATGGTTGGAAATTGTGAAACATACTTAATCTGAAAATACTGTTTAATTGCATGTCATTAAATATTCTACAGTCCTGAGGGCACTGACACTAGGAAGAATAATTAAGATATGCTCATTATTTCAATTTATTAAAGGCCAGATGGACTTTAATGGGAGTTGGCGCTGGCCCTAAATCGGGACCTTAAGCATCTTATCCTTGAGCCCAGCCTATAGCCTTCCAAAAGGGCTATTCCACTGAATAAGAATTGCAGGATCAGCCCTTTCATTGAACACTCAAATAGCTAGGGACCAAGCTCTTGTTTTGGTCAAGGTTTTCACAAGGACAGGCACGTACCACATCACTAATAACTCCCTGTTTGCATGTTTCAGCTGGCTAATTTAAACAACTCTCAGCCACATGATCTCTCAAAGTGGTTCCTGGTTTGTATAGGGATCATGGGCAGCAGGTAAATATTCTACAGCCTATTTTTTTATGGTGCTCGCTTGAAAATGGCTCTTCTCAGTTAGCACTGAGCTATGATTTCTGATCCGCTTTCTTTCAGGCCAACGTCCCCCACAAATCTCAGTGCTGTGACTGTGTAACCCTGCAGGCTCCTGGGAGCTGGTGATTTGCAGGCATGACAGAACTCAGACCTCTCTCTTGGGGAGCAAAATTGGGAAAACTTTTCTGCAAAGCCAGAAAAGCACAAGGAGCTTTGGAAAAGGGATACACATAGTGCTCTAGGCACAGAACCAGGCCATCCTTACTTGAGAGCACTATCAAAAATATCCTCAGCGTTCATACACTTTTTTTAATTGATTAGCCTGTGCTCAGCAATGCGTTTGGAGCTGTGAATTCCTGCAGATAATAATTCACAAGCTAAGTAACTAGAGGATCTTAATAGGTCCCTGCCTGTCACTTGAAGAGGCAGAAAACTTGGAGGCAGAAAACCACAGCTACTCATGTTAGCATTTGAATGTAAATACAGCCTGTGCCATTGACTCGCATTTTAAAGATCTTTATTCCCATTAATTTCTATTTTTTATTCTCTGGCTAAATTGCATGGCTTTTCCTTTAGTAGATGCTTAGTTGTCTAATGCTTACCTCTAAGGGCAGTGTTATTTCGGAATAACTGACATTATTCCAAAATAACAAAGAGCGCATCTATGCTACAAGCCTTTATTTCAAAATAACATCGAGCTAGAGGACTTCTTACTCCAACTCCTGTAACTCTCATTTTACGAAGACTAAGGGAAGTTGAAGGAAGAGTGTTCTTCCTTTGACTTCCTGCTATGTAGACAGCACCAAAAACCGAATTAAGCTATTTCGACTTCAGCTATACAATTGACATAGCTGAAGTTGTGTAGATGTACCCTAAGAGAGCAATGCATACCTGTGCATGAATGTATTTATCCCAATAAAATATGTCTAAAGTGGTCAGATTCCCAGCAGAGGGTCAGTCATACATACTACAGATCATATTAATTTATCTTTAGCAGCCTTCCAAAAAAAATTGTTTTGCTAAGCATTACAGCAGGAAATTTCAGGAGCCTCAAAAGGCAAAACTTTGAAAAGATAACTTGATTATTGACATGAAAAGCAGATTCACTTCTTCTACATTATAACATACAATATTCTCGTAAATGGCCAGCTACACTAAAATCCTGATTAGGCTTCCTTACTCGCTTCCTTCCTTTCTTGTCAAAATATGTCCAATGATCATTAAATAACTTCCCCTAAATTTAAACACAGACTTTTTTGCTGATAGAGGGCACATAAAATATTTAGAGAAAGGCCAGTCCTAGGGTAATGTAAAGGTGGTCAGATTAAAACAAAAAAAGGACATGACCTAGATTGCTTCGCTCTATAGCTTCTGCTTTTATACAGACCCAAATACTACAGATTTTCCCCAGACTAGCAAGAACCCCTGAAATTTGTTTGAAATGCCAAGGAAACAGACAGAGGAAAGGGGAAAAGACAACCCACTTGGGATCAATGTAAATTTCATCCTGCTTTAACAAAAGCACCCAACTGGGCTCAGATCAGGCTCCTCAGATTGCGGGGAAGTGGTTATACCTTTGTATTTCAGTGTAAAATACTGTGGGATTTTTTAAATTTTTAAAGCAAGCAACTGGATTTCTCTTTGTGAAAAACACTGAGGGGAGCTCATGTCACTCTGTTCAGAGGAGATAAATCATATGCTTAGACTCATTCGAGGAGGGAAACGTTTGGTTCCTTTACCCTGTCATTTTCTGCCCTTTCCAATAACTCCTGTGTGAAGGAACACAGCCCAGTGTGGCATTAGACCTTCGGCTCGTTCCTTTTCTTACAAAAGTAGCAATTCTACAATGCCTCCCTGGGTACAGGCTAAGGTCACCTCACCCTGTGGAACAGCTTAACCTGGGCGGGTGGGATGTGCCCGCTGGGCTTACCCCGGCAAATCAGAGCCAACAACTAAGGAGCAACAATATTGTCCCTACTCAGGATCGATCACCCCCGACCCACGGCGCAGAGGGGGCTGGGATGATGGCGCAACAATCCCTCCTTCACGATTTCCCTTCTCAGCTGCAGGATCTCGGAGTGAACCCTAGAAAAAAAGCTCCAAGCTCCCCCCCCCACCGGAGCCCGCCAACCAGCCCCTTCAGCCCCTTAGCTATCCCCCCACCCCAGCATGCCAGGCAAGAGGGGAAGGAGGGATCAGTGAGTGGGGGTCGCTGGCCTTACCAGCCTCTTCTGCGGCTTGATGAGCGGCCGGTTGATGCCGTTCATTTTGTGATAGAGCCCGCAGGCGTTGCACAGATAGTGCCCGGTGCCGTCCTTCCTCCACAGCGGGGTGGACATGGCCCCGCAGTTCACGCACTCTCGGCCATCCCCAGGGAACTCCTCCAGGTACTCTGAAACTGAGCCAAACACAGCTGGTTAGGCGCATGGGCCTGGGAATGACCCTGGGGGGAATCCACAGGGAGCCAAGCTAGGCAGAGCCTGCCCACCCATCCCAAGGAACCCAGTGGGGTTTGTCTGGAGGAAAATACAAGGCCAAGGGTCCTTCCCCAGTGCTGGGAGCACCGATCGCTCCGAGGGACTCTATGGAGAGCACCGGGCTGCCCCGCATTCAGGTGCCACTGAAATTCACCATTAACAGCCTCCCTGTTTTCCCAACCACATCGTGAGAGTCTTTGGAAGAGCAACCGGCCCTGGGACACCCAGCGCCGGATGCACCAGGGAATCTGGCTTTTGTGCAGCAAAATTTTCCTTCTTCCTTCAGGCTTTGGCAACTCTCCTTCCCCCCTCACTCCCCGCAAAGCACGGTGCCCATTGGGATGATTAGCCCTGAAATTGGGCCCTGGTGTACAAGGATCCAGCCAGCTTGCGTCCCTCCATGGCAAATAGTTGTAACCCAGCCACCCTGATTCAACATGCGCTGATGTTACACTCTCATCTCTGCCTCCCTTTCTCTCACTGCAAGCATGCGAGGAAGTGAGGTGTCTCTCACCAGAGCTTATGCCCTAATTGCCTAATACGTGTTAGACTTCAAGGTCCCACCAGTCCGGACTCATTGTTTCTGCTGAAAGGGACTAACAGGGACCGCTCTGAAACCTGCCACCACAGATCCCCCGAGTTGGAAAGAAACTTCATTTGAAAAAAGGGGCGCAGCCCTGTGCGGTGGGGCCAGGGAAAACGTACCTGGGAAGTGACACAGAGCCATGGCAAATAAGGATCAGAAATAAGGAATGATGGGAAAAGCCCCCTACCCCCTCCAACAAGTCTCCCACTTACAGTTTTATCCCCTCCCTAGCACAGGTGAAAATCCCACACATGAAATCCTGGCCCTGTAAGAGTCAAAGGGACATTGCCCCTGAGTCCAGTGATGTCTCTTCCCTTCACCTGTGCAGGATTTGTCCCGACGGCGCTGGGGGCCCTCTCTGCAATAAAGATTCCCAGGGCCCTGCCTAGAGGAACTCTGCGGAAGCCAAGAGGGCAGTAGACAATCGGTTTATCCCCCCTTCGCCCTCTGCAGCGCACACACTTCACAGCTCCCTCACTTTCCATGTCCTGGAGAAGTGTCAGACCCCATCCTGTCCCCCTGGCACTGTCCGCTGCAAAACTCCCCAGCACTCCAGCCATGATGGGGTGAGGAGACAACTGGCAAGGGAGAAAGCAAGCTAAGGTCTTTCCCACCTGGCCTTAGTGCGGGGGCCTGGGCTTTTAAGCAGGACTCGGCTCCCTGGCAAGCAGAGGGGCTATTCTGCTGCAGACTCAACCTCTTTCCAAGGGCACGATCCAAAGCTAGGAGAGGCCAAGATCCTTTTCCCATTGGGCTTCACCATGTGGACCAAGCTTTCTCCATTGCACAGCACCTGAGGGGAGCTGCCAGTAGGGACATGGTACATGCTCCCCAAGCCTCAGTGTCTCCAGGACCTGGGCCAGGCAGCGAAAGATGCCCCGTCCCGCTCCTCTGTTTTCTTTTTTACTTAACCTTCTCATGGAGCATTGCAGGATTTTTTTTAATAATAAATATCCCCGGGCAGGGGCGATAACGAAGAAGGATTTGCTTTCGTTTCCCTGCGGGCTGCCCCCAACCGCTTCTCATGTGGCTGGAAGCCGGAGCGCAGCGGGCCGGGTGCAGCCCAGCTCGGTTGTAAAAATAAATGATCGCTATGATGTTATTGTAAGATGATAAAAGGAGGAGGCCGGAGGGGTGGGGGGGAGGGGGAATTGGAAGACTTTCCTGATTTCAATCAACTGGTGTTGGTTGCTGACTGGTGGCGACAAGCAGGCTGGGGAAGGCCTGGTGGAATGTCTAAGGCTGATGTACAACTTCGGGGGATGCTGGCCTCTAGGTATCAATCACCCCTAAAGCTCTGGGCTGACAAATGACAGACTCTGGGGGGTGGGGAGAGGCAGCTTTCTTGAGTCGATATTGCAGCTCGCTGGAGGAGCTTGGGGTGGTATGTGGAGATAGACACACACACGTTGTAAGATAGATCCACAATTGTACCCCATACATATCCTAAGTAATGTGTGCACATACAGCCTATGCATATGTGGCTATACAACATATATGTAAAACGCTGAATACAAAATAATCATGCAACGTGCGCGCACACATTTATAGCCACATAGGTGCTCAATTGTTTCACACCAAACACACACATACTCAAGAATGACATAGGTTTTAAATACACCCACATTTTACACATGTGTATACTTTCTGCATCCAAGTCCCAAATATTATATATTCATGAAGCCCTTAACTGGACATTTCAGCTTGAGATCTGCTCCCCTCTTTCAGAAATCAGAAGGGAAAGTGAAAGGTTTTGTTTCTTCTGACTAGCTTTGTGTATCTCTCCCAGCTATACATTTTTGCCTCAATTTTTTTACAAGAGGGCGATACAGAACAACCTCCATTATTTCAGTCTTAGTATAGACTGATTTACAGCCTTGGGGTTTTTTTTTTTTTTAAACAAAACAAAAAACAAACAACAAACCCCTCTCTTCTCCCTCCCCTGCCCCTAATCTGGAAGAAACTTTTCTTCATGGTTTGAAACACTGTCTGTTTTCTTTCCAAATAAAAATGCACTCCAGGTTTAACCTTCTTTGAACTTGTAAAAGAAACGATCCTAAAAATAGGAAAAATTGGGACTTTTGTTGTGGTGTTCAGGCTCTTTACATTCACTTGCATTTTCTCGCAGCAAAAATAAAAAACTAGGAACACTGCATTTTGGCAGGCCAATAAAATACAAAACGCATGGCATAGGGAATGATCCGGCAAGGAATCCGCATCTCTCAACAGAAAGGGGATCATTTGTAAACTGGGGTGGAATTAATGTTTGCCTTGGGAGTATTAAAGAGTTACCGAGGATCACAGTTACATAGTGAAAAAGAAAAAAAATAAGATTGTACATGACTTTCCAAGGCTAATAAAAGCGATTTGCAGCAATCATAAGGAAGCAGCTGTTCAAAGTGCAATAGAAGAAAGTAGGCTCCGCACTTTGGAAAAAGTCTGTAAGAAACGCGGAGTGGGGGCATTTGTTCCGAGTTTACTTTGTTCTCACTACAGAGATAAGATAATTCGATTCACTCCAGAGAAGACGATAAGAAGGATGAGATTCTGAAGTGGATTTTAAAGTACTTTTCAAAACATAATCTTAGGAGAAGAATAGCAAAAGACCCAGGAGTTAGAAACCAGAGCTGGTCCTATTTATTTAGCAGACGGGGAAAGGTCGGGGGAGGAGGGGTGAAAGCTGGAAAGTTTGCTAGGAACTTGATTTAAAAGGGCTCTCCGTGTGGATAAAAACGAATTGAAGTGGGTTTTATTGTTCAACGCCTGACTAGATTTCACTGTCTCTCCAGAGGCAGCAGATTGATGCAATTGGGGAATTGTTTGGGTGAAGGCGAATTAGGAGACCAAGAGTCTGTTCAAATATAAACTAATTTACCACAATAAATTACTTAAAAGGCAAGGAGCTATAAATCTGCCCTCCTAATTTAAACACAAGGGCAAGTATTGAGGCAAATGCACAAAGTCGATATTGTGGAAAGGAGAGATCATTTTGTGGTACAAGGGCGAGGCGTTTAGACAAGCCTCCATTTTTTCGGTCCTCCAGGGAAACTACTCCTTTTGAAATGTAATGTGTGCTTTACACACACACACACACACACACACACCATCCCAAGGCCCTCCCCAGACAGGGTTAAAGATACGGGACTCTTTCCAGAGAATCATCTTTTCCTTAAGGTTCACTCCGATTCTCCTGCTCCCTTATGCCCATTCCCTGACTCCTGGAATAGCCCCATTCATTCCGGAGTCAGGCGCTGCTCACCCCAAGAACTCGGCGCAGCCACACCAACCCACCAGGCTCCTAGCAGCTGTTCTCTGCTGTCCGCGGAAGCTTCCATGGGGCACAAGCGAGGCCTCCCACTCGAGCTCGCTTGGGGTTTCCCCACGTGGGATCCCCCCCCAGGAAACGGTGGGGGGAAAGCCAGTGTGGGTCCAAACCCTCCCTCCTCCCCCTTGGTCCCAGTTCTCTGGCGGGGCCCTGCACATCAAAGCGCTGCAGCTACCCCCATGCCTCCGGGACTGAGCGCTCCCGGGAGCTGGGCAGGGGCCCCGAGCCTGGCTGGGCTCCGCGGACAGTCCCCCCCGCCCCAGGGCCGGTCACCTACCGAAGGTGGATCTGCGGCCGGGCAAGGCCTGCCGGGTTTGCAGACTGTGCAGCACGCTGCTCTCGAAGTGTCCCGCGCTCCAGGAGGGAGGCATCTCCGGGCTCACGTAGGCCGGGTAGTGGCCGGGGTAGGATCCGCTGACCGAGCGCACCAGGGCGTTGCCGTACTGCTCTCGGCCCCCGCTGCCCAGCAGCAGCGGGCTCTGGTAGGCTCCCTCCCGGCCCGCGCCGCCGCCGCCGCCCGGCGGGCTGTGCGAGTAGGCGAAGCCCGACGGCGGGTGCGGGCTGCCCGCGTTGAAGGCCGATGCCTCGCCGCCGCTTTGCGCCCAGCCCGGGGGGCTGCCCAAGGCGTGGGTCTGGTGGGCCGGCTCGCAGCCTTGCAGGTAAGGCAGCGTCTGGAGCATGGAGGGCACCCGGGGGGTGGGCACGTACACCGGGGAGCTGGCCGAGGAGTGCAGGAAATTGCTGGCGTCGTGGGAATAAGCCGATTGCCCGGGGTTGGGGGCGAGGGCTAAGCTCTGATACATTTTATATCCTGCCAGGCAGCCCAGCTGGCCAGGCGCGTTCCGTGGCGTGGCGCTTCCAGGTCCCTACGCAGCGCTGGGCATATGGCGCCGGGCTGCTCTGCCGCAGCTGTCTCCAGATGTGCGGGCTCAGGTCAGGAGCAGGGGCCTGAAACAGAAGAGCGGACAGATATCACCGTGTCTGTGGCCCGGCGCGTCTAGCTCTTAACCCCCTCCCCCCGCTGGCTCGCAGCAGCTTCTTGCACCTGCCCTGATCCGGACACTGGGGCAAGAGGAGGGAGGTTTACCCCCCTTCTTCAGCAAAGGAAATCGCGGCTGAAATGCGACGGAAGGAAATCGGAGGGCTACAGCACTGAGTGGGAATGAAGGAGCTGGATTACTGCGAGATGCAGATGTTTATTTCAGTACTGATTCGGCTTTTAGTTGTTCAATTTTGCCATAACAATTCACTATACAGAGAAAACGCACTGTGTTGTGTATTCATACATTGCAGAATAGATATATGTTGTATGATGGAACATCAATATACTTATACAACACCCACGATCATAACATGTACATAAATGTATACAATATAATTATATAAGCTACATGAATTTTTATGTTTAGCATATATATTGAAATCTATATAGTATTTAAATATTTGCTTTACAGCTGAACGTATTTTATTTTGCTTTGCTATGGAAACGCAAGTCTCAACGTTACATTTAGGCTAGAAGAAATAAAATTGTGTTAAACGGGCTCCTTTTATGTTTTAAACCAATACCCTCAACTTTTGTTACCAAGAGATTTTTTTTTAAAACGGATTTTTTCACAAATATTCTCTCCTCCGTGTGCATGTCACAGAGTTCTGATGTGCTTTGTTTTTTCTTTACAACATCGATCTGGACAAATAAAAAGCTCGAAGCTGTTTGAAGCATTTACTATTTTTTCCCCTGAAACGGATTCTTGTTTTTTTTTTTTTTAAGATACGTGTTCAATCATTCCAAAGAAGCACAAACGCGACACATAAAATCGACACTTAAAAAACACGTTTCTGCCATATAAATAAGCCCGTTGTGTTTAACTCTGCCAAGAAGAGGCACCACACACACTCTATGCAACAGCCACTGTAAAAAGTCGCACCACAACTCTACTGTTTCCTCTGGGATTTTAAGAAGTCAGGAAATTAGGTGGCTTTAAAAACACACACAACTCAGCAATCGCGGCTGGCCTGTAAATATGCCCGGGTGCAGAGATAACGAACTCCACTGTTACTAGCAGGAGCAACAGAAAACAGGGCATTCAGCAGATCTTTTGGAAGGAGACAGCAAAGCGAAGGATTCGAAGCGTTGCTCATTCCCCCGGCCTGGGGAGGGAAGGAGCCAGTATTGGACCGCTCCTTTGATCAGGAGCAAAATAATCCGAATCTGGACCCTCTCTAAAAAGCCCGTCGGAAAACGAGCTGCCTTTTCAGATCAGAGAGCACGTAAATCACGGGGCAGTATCGATAGCTGCGCCTTGCTCCCGGGCATTATCTCCGAGATAAGGACCGCGGGCCGATAAATCCGCGGAGAAGTACTTACATTGCGGCGGGGAAGGAGCACAACCGTGCGGGGCTGGGTGGGATTTAAGAAGCCACTTGAATCCAAATCCTCGGAGGGGAGGGGCGGGGATTCCAGGAAAAAAAAAACCTCCAGCCCCCTCCCCAGGCCGAATCGGTGACTTTAATCCCCGCGCCGCCTGCCCCTGGGAAGGGAGGGGTATCGCTCTGCAGGGCTCGGCCCCCGCTCCCCTCCCGGCTGTCACAGGCTGCTTTCTCGGCTCATCTCGGAGGTAAAGTGGTTTCCCTTCGCTTTACAGCAGGGCAATTGTAGGGCCCGGGTCACGTGACGGCCGGGCTAGGTAGGCCGGGGAGTTCTCTAAGGATTGGGTGTCTCCCAAAAACCAGCCTCCCGCGACAAACTTTCCAGGGGAGGGGAAAGCGGGAGCGTGAATCGCCCCTTTAACGCACAGGGCTGCACAAGGGGCATGGTTGGTGGGTACTGCCTTCCTCCCGGAGGGTCGCTTTAGTGGGCAGGGATGGTGCTGCCCTCTGCGGGGGTGTCTGAAGCCGCTGATTGCCTGGCACCCGTGGGATGAAGATTTATTAATACAATGATTAAGAACCAGCGAGTTTCAGAAAACCAGAACCGGGTTCTCTGCAGCGCCGGCTGTACCTAGGTTGCTCTACACGCGTTCACAGGGCAATGTGTCTGTTCGATCTGGCGCTGAATCCAAACACAACCCCCGCATCTCCCGTCTCCACCCCCGCTCCCCCTTCAGACCTGAAAATGTCGGAGCTGTTTCGCTAACGTGTAAAAACATGGGTGGGTTTCTACAGCCGGCGTGGAAAGGACTTTGAAACTGCGCGCGTCTAGTTTGAAGTCGCCGTTTCCTGCAGAAATAACGATCAAATGCGCCTGATTTGAAAGTGGCAGAGGAGAGATGATTTTCCTCCCTCTCCCCAAGTCCAACCACTTTTTTTTTTAAGTCACTTTGTATATGATCGACTCTGAAGCGGGAAAACAATCTGAAAACTTTCCTTCTGAGCGAGCAGTGACTGAAATAAAGGAAGCTGTGAAGTGAGTTCTGGCTTCGCAGCAACTTCCCTGCTTTATTTTAATAACAACAACACAGTGAAAAAAGGGGGGAACCCTACCATCAGTTTACAAAATCACTCAAACCGTCAATTGAACTAAATCGTATCCCACGGTCCAGGCGAACAGGTGGCAATATTTTTATTCGCAGCTTCTCTGGGGCAAAGCTGTCAGAACCCAGATTCCTATAAGACACTGGGCTACTCCTGGATTTTACTTCTAAAACTTGACAATTTCAATAAACTACCAAAGAAACTGTTTAGTAGACTCCTTACTGAAATACCAGGAATAATCAAAGACAGAGTTCAGTTCTAAGTAAAAAGCCCTTGGTATTATTGTTAAATAAAATAAATATAATAATAATAATTATTATTAATAATACTGGTAGTATTAGCAGCAGCAGCAGTAGTGGTATGAAATCATTTGGAAAGCCAGAATTATAACATGACCATACTCAGTTCTTGAACATTAGGGAGTTGTTGTTAAAGGTGTCACCGCTTGAAAGAGGTTAAAAGAGCAGGTACTATTATTGTAAGGGAGGAAAAAACCAAAACAAAATCAGAAAAGAGTTTATCTTGAGTGCACAGTCAAGTTGGATTTACTGCCACCCTTTAATACACACGGTTATAATGGATTCTAGATTTTCTCTCTAAAGGAACAGAGTTCATTCATAAACATACACCCACCTCAGCTTGTACATGCTTAGCAACTATTTTAATTAACATAGTTGCTAAGCATGTACATGATTACGGTGAATACTTAAACAGCTCAAATCTAGAGCTTGGATTTTGTTCTGAAAAGAAATAATGAAGAGTCGATTCGAATCGCATGGACTAAGCGAAAAGGTGGGAGGGAAAAAATGTGATTTTACATGCAACCTTTTAAGCCGTTTGCCGGACAGAGATCGGTTAAACAGATCCAATAAACAAAGTCTCTTTTTTCTGTGACTCGCTGGACTAGTTCTTGGGGTTACCTGAGCGAGTTAGCAAAGCTAATCTCTGGAGCCAAAGGGTGTCTGAAATACCTGTGACATTCTTTCCCTGTTGCGGGCAAGGAATTAGCCATCAACTCAACGCGGCAATCCAAAATCCAGAGCTCATACTAGCTAGCGAATCCTGCCAACATAATATCCGAGTATCTATTTGAGTATCTCCCCCTTTTTGCTCACACGGAAAAAAAATCGAGGACGGGGGTCTCATTCCTTATCCCCCTTTACATCCCATTGTTTACTGCTTCCTAGAAAACGAAGGGCCCGATCTTGCAGGTTGTATACATCAAACCGGGGAGCCCCTTCGGATCTAATGCACTGAGTGCAGGATCGGGCCCCATATTCTAAGCTTTTCATTTCCTGCATTGGCATTTATTGCTAACACCCTATAGTACAAATTAAGTATTAAGCGGCTTATTTAAAAATATGCTGGCATTAATAACTAGAAAAGAGACACAAATAGACTAATTAGAACGCAGTAAGAGCTGGACTTTATCTCTCCAGTTTTGTTTATCATGTACTTTTAGCTTGGATATTTTACAGTAACAAAAAAGAAATGCTGGAGGCATAGAAAATATCCCATTCAAAATTATGCTGTATAAGAACACGGGCTATTTACTACGGAACATTGCGATGCAACTGGCTAAACAAAGCGGGTCCATTTACTTGTTACATTCTAGCTGCTTCACGTAAGATTCTGAAATTTACCACTTACAAGATACTCTCTGTACTCAGAAAAGTAATTCAAGAAAAAACAACAACTAGAAGATTCGAATCTGTAGTCTGTGTTTCTCATATGCATGGCAATTAATAAAACCCCTTTGAAAATAGCTTTCCATGAACCTTTACGGGAAAACTGGGGAAACCGGTGGTATCTGGAGGTAACTGAAAATATTTCAAAATATTTTAAATTAAAGTATTAATTATTTGAATTTAAAAATCGTTCTGAAAGATTTATTTTAGGGTAAGTATGAGTGTAAAATAATTATCAATACGCCTACAGGCACACCTATCCACTTATAAAGAGTTGTCAATATATATAATATTTAGGCTAAAGGAAATCTTACATAAAGCACACACATATAAAAACACACATATACTCACACACGTGGAGGTATTTATATATATGTATATGATGTATGTAGAGACACATACATTATAAATATTAATCTTATGTCTCGTTGTACTTTTAATTAGATTAGGTTTGTAGATGGCTTTAAGTATCCTTGCTTCTGTTGCAGAAAGAGGTTCTATTTCCATTAACAAAGGCGATCTATTGATTGTGTGTGTTTAAAGGCTCTGGGGGCACATATTCATTGTATTGTAAATGCACGGATAGCCTTCACGGGGCAGCAGAAGGTGTTGATGCCAAGTGTCACACAATATCCTTACAACTGTGGATGGTATCATGAGCTTTCGTGGGCACAACCCAATTTTACATGTTTTGTTAGTCTTTAAGCTGCTGCAAGACTTTTTGTTGTTTTGTAATTTTTTCCAGTTACAGACTAACTTGTCTGCTCCTCTGAAGCTTACAACTGGTCACTTTAAACCCCAAATAATTATAAAAAGCTGCGGACATAACCCACGTTTCAAAAGTTCTCCCTCGATGTCTTTCTAGACAGAAAATATGTCTATGGAAAATAATTGTTTGGCAAACTCAAAATTATTTATATTGGCCTTTCCTAAAGGCTCATACTTCCAATCGTTTAAAAGGTGTGGGTGTCATTTGTCAAAGGTGCATTATGTGTGTACACATAACTGCATATATGTATACGGAATATGCACATGTGTGAGCATATACACGTTATATATACACGACACACATACAGTATATTCATAATAAAAGTGGGCATATAGATGTGTATATATTTGTTTACCATTTAGATTAGTTATCTATCCTATGTGTTTGTATTATGGATGGATACAGCTCTGTGTACACGTATACAGTGTTAGTATTATGTAAGTTGGTGTCTATATGTGCCCGAATTCTGTATGCATGTAACTATGTATATACAGTTAGAACTATGTGTATGTGCGCGTATTGTTTGCGTCTGTGTGGGCTTATTATGTATATAGCTGTCTAGAAGTGTGTATAGAGTGTGTTAGCGCTGCTTGTGTATGTCTGTGTGCGTATTATGCATGCGAGGCATATATCTATACTGTACTCCTATATAGTTAGTATGTGATTCAAGTTTGCCTACGTTTTTAAATAATAGCGATATTCACTTGGTCGACATGTATTTATATGTACGTGTTATATGTGTTTATAGCGAGTCTATTTTGGGGATAGGGCTGTCCCCGTCGCACTTTAAAAACCAGCCGTGATTTTACATTGAGAGCGTCCTTTTGCTTTTAGAAACGGGTCTTGGCAAATGTTTCCGATGGCTGAAAACGGCAACTTTTCAACCTGCTCCAACTTCAACAAACAAAACCCAAACATCCTCCCCCCTCCAACTAAAAGAGCTCTGGGGTGCGCGGGGGGAGCCCATCTAGACCAAATAAAGATCCTGGGAGCCGGTCCGCGATGGGTGGGATAGGACAGATTTGAGAGACAGTCGGGCAAGGATCTGCCCGGAGTTACTGGGAGGCTGCCGCGGGAGGATTCAGCCCCCACTCCATAGCCCAAGTACACTCTGCAGAAGTGGTGCGGACTCCCCGTCTGTCCCCAGGGGTTGAGGCTTTCGGGTGTTGCACAAAAAGCTGCAGCGGCCCGTGTCCTTGCTCCGGGTGAACCGGGTTTACCAGACACGTTCCTGCTGGAAGCTGGGCGCAGCCTGCTGGCAACAGAGCACAGGACGGGACCAGCCCCAGTCCCGTAGGGTCCGCTTCTCTTAAAGCTCTCGCAGTCCTGTAGCCCCAGTGTGACAATCGGGGTGAATAAGGGTGACTCCGGCTAGGAAGGGTTGGGGCCCGTGTCCTTGCTCCGGGTGAACCGGGTTTACCAGACACGTTCCTGCTGGAAGCTGGGCGCAGCCTGCTGGCAACAGAGCACAGGACGGGACCAGCCCCAGTCCCGTAGGGTCCGCTTCTCTTAAAGCTCTCGCAGTCCTGTAGCCCCAGTGTGACAATCGGGGTGAATAAGGGTGACTCCGGCTAGGAAGGGTTGGCAGGGCTGAAATCGAGCACCTTTTCGAGCGCCCGCCTTGTTTTCCAATCAGGTTTGCTGAGCTGGAATCCAGGTCGAGTGTAAACGTTTC